GAAACCTTCAGGTTACCTGGAAAGTCTGCCCTATCTGGGGGGTCCCTTGAGGATCCAACTGACCGTAAGCTCCACGCCCTCATTTCTTCAAGTGACTTCCTACACCGCAGACTCCAACCCTGATTTCTCCATGATTTTGCAGGTAACTTTCCGGCTGTGATTTTCTATGCACCCCATACTGGCTCTTACTGATGTGAGTTAGATTGAGGTATATGGACTACTGCAGCTAGCAGGTAAGCCCAAAGATCGCAGGTGCACACCCACGTCCGGCTGAGCCTATACTTATCCAATTAATCAGTATCGAACATGTTGGGCTCCCTTTGTTGGAGTCCCCGTCGCCATGTTCAACGGATTTTCGGGTATATAGGCTTGGGGGGACTCCTGTTTTGGCAGCACATATGGGCCACGGTCGCTGACAGGCCTGTGACGTGTCGAGTCATTGCTAAGTGGCGCATGTTGTTCTTGAAGCTGTGAGCAACTTTTCGGAGTGGCAAGTATACCTTCGGGTAGAAGTACCCTTTTTTTTTGGTCACCAGGCCGTCCACGTAACATGTCGGGACGCACAAATGAGATGGGACTGTAATTTCCAAAGCTATCAACATACACAGCTCTGCTGATGAAGGTGCGTCAGAGAGGATGACCCGAAACTTCAGCTTCTGCCAGAGCGGGTCGTTTGTGGTTCCTGGCATGCGGGCTTAGAAGCAACAATGCGAAGACGGAATTGTTCAATTCAACCTCAGGGCCTGGAGGCCTTGTTGCAGTTAAGGATTAGGGTTTAGGATTTAGAGGTTAGGGTTTTCTATCAGGGGCAGGCCAGGAAGCAGCACGAATTCCCTTCATAAGAATATAACCCCCCCCATCCTTAAACCTGCACCATCAGCTTCTTTAAATGTTGGGGGACACATTCTATAACAAGGCTGAGAGGCGGATTATATGACATTAGTGTGAAAAGCTTCTATACCTGATAAACCCCTACATTAAATTAAGTTGCCATTCCATGCTCCATCTTCTTTCCCATTTGATTCTCCATTAATACCTTAAACCCTCAGCCCTGAACCCTGAAGCCTAAACTTCAACGCCTGGGGCTGCTGCGGCCTAAGACCACAACTGCTGCTCAGCAACTGCCTCTCTAGTTTTCTGGAGCATCACCAAAGTAAAACGGAATGAATACATTTGTTGACAATCCTCGGTCAACGGCTGTGTAATTTTCTGGGTCTTTTCTTACCGGTTTCCCGGATTCAGCTCTAGCAGCAGGAAGTTTAAATGGCAAGCCATGCTGTAGGCCCCAAGCCCAACAAAGTACCGATCAATGATTATTTGGTCTTATACTACTCTACATATGAGCTATAGTCTAAACTCCTAGTATCCCCCTTAATAAGCCCTATAGTAGTCCCCTATATAATCCCCTATATAACCCCCCTTTAAGGAGTTTAGACTATAGCTCATATAAGGATAATGGAAAAGACAACGGAAGCTACGATTGATCCGTGGTGTACGCATCGGACACTCTGATTCCAGGATTAGGGTTCTAGGGTTTCAGGGTTATGGGATTACAGGGTTGTGGGGTTAGGGTTGTAGGGTTGTGGGGTTTAGGGACCCGAGGGATGTAGAGGGGCTTCAAGCGGATGGGCGCCGATGAGGATAAGATAGGGGTCGGTTGTGGTGCCTGGCATGTCTAAAACTTACCTCTGGAGCCTCGCGGTCAAGGGTTTAGGGTTTTGAGAATAAGGGAATGAAAGCTACTATATTATCGTGGGTTCTATATGAACTATATAAGGATCCAGCCCTTCTTTCCTTGCTCACCAAAGCCAAGCAAACCCGGTATTCTTGTAAGATGGGACTTCAAGTATGCACAGCTCAACATGACAGACAGGATCCTGACCATCCCCTTCGAGCCAAATGAGTATCTCAAATAGACCTCAAAACTCTAGTGATGATTATTGAGGACAATCCCTACAAATCCATATACAACCCAGTTTCCATTTCATGTTTCATGTTCTTTTCCACTTGGTTCTCCATTGTTAGGGCAATAGTGCGTTTTTTCCTTGCCTGTATAAAGCCTGAGCCGAAAACCCAATGTCTGCGTAGGAAAAATGACAAGGCCGGGTGCACGGTCATGGATGTAGTATCGGATCGCCTTCCACGGGTTCCAGGCCGTCCACTGATATTATCAACCACGCTAGAACTAAGACAACCAGCATCTTGAGTGCTTTTGACCATCTTTGCTGCACTCTTAGCTTGGCCCCACTTGAAAAACTTGGGCTGCACTCTGCTGCAGGAACATGCAAAGTAATAACAAGAATACTAGGAAGATGATGCTAGGAGGATGGTAGGAATAACGGTAAGAATAATACTAATACTAATAAAATGATGATAATAGCTAAAAATGCAAAGGCTGGCGGCACCCTCACATTGCCGAACTGCCTTGGTAGTCAGATAAGAGCTCCAATGGCCAAGCGTTTAGAACGCCACCTTTAAGGACTCTAGACTACAGCTCATATGGGGGTTTCCCAAAATTAGGGATCCCTTTTTAGGGATTCCCATAATCAGGACTGTAGTATATTGGGGTCTATATTGGGGTCCCCTCATTTTTGGAAACTACCATATCATTCCTTGCGGTCATGCTTTGGGTCCTTCCCCTGACAGTCAGAGTTACCACAACGGGTAATAGGAGTCATAATAAGCCCGCAGCAGCATCCCTTTAAGGACACTTGCGGCGTTGCCGAATTGATCAAATCGTTTCCATCCCCCTGCCTCCGACATCTTGTGCAAAAAGTTAGTTCCAGGAGTGATGACCTGGGAGGATGTCAGAGCATTGGCCAACAACACATCTTGAACATTGCCTGAGGCACGACTTGTGCAACATTGTGTAGTCTATGTCGAGTTTGGGGGTTCATAAATAGTAAAATCTCACACCTCCCAGATATGGCATCCTGTTTCAAAAGCTGCCTGCTAGAAGGTGACTGCATCTCAACACTGGAATACAAGGACTCCTGTGAGCTATAGTCTAAAATCCGAATTTCCCCCCTGCTAGCCCCTGTTTATAGGAACCCCATGTAATCTCCTATATAACTTCCTTTAAGGAGTTTAGACTACAGCTCATGTACTCCCCTACCAACTGAAAGCGGTGCAAACGAATTTGTTGCAACTCAAGTATACTTACCCTTTACCCTGATAATCATATCGCCGGGGAGGGTGGTCCTCATTACCAAAAACCTTCCTTCGACGAAGACACCTCCCCAAACACCTTGGATTCACCACACGCCACACAGCCATCTTGGAGACTGCAACCCAGGGCCAGACGTTTGAGTCAAACACCTTGCCTGCCGTCCTGTTAGGCAGTGTTCGTCCCTCTGCCTCACCACGTGGTGATCTCGTTTGTGTGCAATAGGGGCTATAAGGGAAGCAGGTGCAGGCGACAGTAGAAGCCGAATGCGTCGAAGTAAAGGTCAGGAAAGCTGGAGCACGAAGATACAGAGACAACTGATGATACCTTTTTTTGGGGACGGTGGTAGACAAATCTTCCAACTTTCTACTGCGCGGGAGGTCAAACAAAGCGATGTCGTAACTAGACCCTATGAAGCCCTGTATGCCCCCAGCTTCCATCTCATTCCCCGTTTCATGTCCCCTTTGATTCTCCATCGTTGCACGGATAACATGCCTAAAACCAACACCCTAAGCAGCCACCGGGAGCCGAAAACCCTCCCATAGTAGCTACCTTTTTTTTTCCCCATTATCCCACTTTCACCCCAATATACTATAGTAGCTTCCATTTCCTTTTCCATTTAACCCTATATAACCCCAATGCTTAATTTCACCCCTAAACCCTAAACCTCTTTAACCCCAATATCCCTTGGCCTCCCAGTCTTGTCGAAGCTTCTCTTGCTCTCGCTCCATCTCTTCCCTCTCCTCGTAGAATGTTTCAAGTTGGTACCATACCCCTAAGGGTCCAAGTACCCAATAATCATATACTTACTACCCAAAACCTATATGATAACTACTATATTACCAAAACCCCAAGTACCTAATTTTTGGGTACTTGGACCCTTAGGGGTAGAATGGTTCAAGTTCGTACCATACCATCAAAGTCTATTATAGGGTCCAGGTTGGTTCGGATAGGGCGCCTGAATGCATGAGTCCTGCCAGTCAAGCCCTGAAGGAACCTGATTTCAAAATGCGGGCGCAATTACATCATATTCGCAATCCTGTCTCAGCCGCTGACGTTCGATAATTCAGGATTGCCCAACTGGCAGTGCCTATGATCCCCTATATAGTACCAGTTGCCATTTCAGTTTCCATGTTCATGTCCATTTGGTTTTCGCTTATCGGGGTAACATCCCTAAACCCCGAACCCTCAGTAGTAGCTTCCATTTGATTTTCCATGTTCTTTTCCATTTGATTTTCGATTATACCAACTAACCCTAAAGCCTATACCACTTGTCTTGACTATCATGTTGGGACAGGGAGGGTTTAGTCTTCCAGCCAAGTAGGGCATGCGATGGAACCAGCTGCGTAACACAGTATTTTCCAGCGTGATTTCCGTGAATAACGGAAAAGAACATGACCAACAGCATGTTTCCAGTTGCGCATATCATTGAACGTTCTTCCAACAGAAACAGAGACTCCTTGAGTTGATGAATGGCGAAACCTCCATTAATCCTCCCTTAACCCCTATGTATCCAATAGATTCACCATTCTTGTTCGATATTGTACTTGCCATCTTCTTTTCCATGCAAATATCCTAAGCCCTAGAGATATAAACCCCAAACCTTCAATCAGCATCTTTACCTAAACAATCTCCTGGGCGGCCCGAAATCGTCGAGCTCGCTGTTGGTTCATCTTGGCGCCTTGCTGACTCAGTCTTTGCGGAGGACTTACGTAATCCCGTCGCGCTTTTATCTCAAAGAAGGTCACCAAATGCAAATCCTCTGTGTATGTATACATATATAAATAATGGTACATTATATACATCTATATATATATATATGAGATAATTGTATTCACAGATGGACGGAAGGAATGTTGAGATTTTGGTGCAGAGTGGTGTTTGAGGGGAGGCAATCTATAGCCTTGGGTGGGCCAACTTCCAAAAAAGAGACCTTTTTTGGATGCCCTTCACAAGCGGCACCTAGCTCTTTGGGGTTGGACGAGTTACGTTTCATGTTAAGACTGTACGACCAAAAGCCCTGCAAGCCCGGATTCCATCTTAATATGCCCCAGCCCGGGGTAAAATGAACCAAGTTGCGCGGCGCCACGCCATCAATGGCCATGTAGACAAGTCGCTTGGGCCTTCGCGTGACTAGACATAGGCAGCGCTTGCTTGGCATCGGAAGGCTGCACAGCTCGTGATTTCTGGACACACCCTCTCGCAACACGGCGCATGCCTGACAATGCGGAAAAGGCGATCGAGATAGAGGAAAATGTTCTCATACCTCGGAACAGGCGTTCTTGGGACAGTGGCTGACAGCTGACTAGGCAGATCTGGAACTTCAAAGAGCGCGCGTCGAACTCTTGAGTTGTAGACTCACACTGATCCAAGACCGGCAGGTAGCACGTACTGTTATGAACATACATGAGCGACAACCATCTTTGCGGCCAGTGCACATGTGCTCCTCATCCTCTGGTGCTGGGCCATCTTCAGGATGACAACAAGGATGGATGATTCCTCGAACACACATGGGAGGATTTAAGGCTCCAAAGTTTAGGATGGAGAAGCTCCCTCATGACATTTTGCACTCCCTGATGCTGCTGAGGCACCATTCATGTCTAGGTAGAGATTGTCGAAATCACCGTTCGGAGCCTTGGCCACGTGACATGAAGCATGTCTAGTAGTGAGATGCTGTATTTTTTCCATGCCCAAAATTTCCAAAATAGAAGGCCTTTTCTTAGACTGTGAATTTTCAAAAATCTTGGGGACAGAAGGGCCACGAAAGTCCCCAAAGCTGCAGCTTCTCAAAATTGGGGTCCAAACAGTATACCAACAGTTCCCAACTGAGCGGCGCAAACAAAAGGGCAGTCAGTCAGACAATAAGAGGATCCGAGCATAGGCAATGTCGCTACGCCAGCAAGTCCCAGCGTAAACAGGAGAATCCAAGACATAAGCTCTCTCGCAGGGGGGCCGTCCAGATTTCACGAAACGCCCAGACTGAGCATCAGGCATCCTCATCCAAATCTACAGGCACCATTCGGCCATCCATTTCAACAGGCTCCCGCTCGATGGTGTCACGGATGACTTTGGGGTAGCGGACGCAAATCCATCCTCAGCAGAGCTGGCTGTTGGCCTATGGGATTTTGAAAGTTTTCCGGCGTTTAGTAATTCAGGGTGCATGGGGTCTCTCCAGACGAGAGCCCTCCTGGTTGTGAAAGCTCTACGATGTCTACTGGCACCACTTCGAGGTTTTAGACGTGCTCTACAGGTGCAGCTGAGCAGCTGAAGAATGTTGGAACACCCATGGCTCTCTACTTGGCTTCTGCCAACGACAGGCGCTGTGGTTGACCGATGCTGTGTTATGCTGGTGATTAAGTTTTCCTAATTGTTCCGCTTCTGGGAAATGAAGGGCATCTCTGCGTGTGTCAATGGCATTTGGGCCACCCCTAGGGCAGATGCTGATCATAGCTTGTGCATTGCATCTTTACTTGATGTTGGTGGATTGTGCAGGTAACCGGCTTAAGGGTATTTCTCAAAGTGACCCCCTGTGTGATCCCGAATAAGGACCCCTATATCCCCTTATCTGCGAGCCCAACAGCTGCATGTTGGGAAGATGAGCTTCTTACACAGGCTCCGCACTGTACGTCTGATGTTAGGGATAAGTGCTTGGAGGGTTCAGGTTCTGGCTTAGGGTCTATAGGGCTTAGGCTTTGGCGCGCGCTTTAGGCTGTAGCCCGGAAACCCTGGTAAACGAGGCTTCAGCCATTAGGTAAGCTTGGGGTCGCAACACCCTCAGTACGGTTTCTACTTAAACAGCTGACATGGAACTGGCAGTGTGTCGCGGTCCTTGCAGCTAAACTTTCAGCTATATGGAGTAGAAGAGCAGTGCACGGTCCAATGGGACAGGTAAAATGGATTTGAAGGCTGCAGGAAACCTCTATGGCCCTATGAAGAGGCTGTATTGTTTAGGGATATATGAGATTGATCCCTTCTTTTGTCAACACCACTTCGGCCAGTTCATGACTTATTGCATCTACTGCAGAGTGAGCCTGAGAGCCTGTAGTCAATGTGCATGTAGGTCTCCGTGAGCGCAAGATAAGCCGTTGCCGCCTCAGCCCAGAGAACACGGGATGTCGGAGTGGTTTTCCAGAAATACCTACACACTAGCCCCTAAACCTTAAACCCCTAAACCCCTAAACCCTAAACCCTGAAACCTAAACCCTAAACCCTCAACCCTAAACCCAAAACCTCTTTTGGGCAGAGCTAGCAGACGGCTAAATGCTTTGGGATATGCAGATGTTCTTTCCGTGCTTTGAAGCTACCGTAGGCTTCAGGAAATGGAATTTGGGATTTAGCGTGTACAGTTTCTTTGGCCCTAGGGGAGGGGGAAGGGAATGCCAATGCTTTAGGGATTAACAAGAGCCCGCAACAGGCCAGAACAGTGCCAAAAGCAGAACAACTTTTCTTTGTAGTCGCAATAGACCAGGAATGAAAAAAATGATTTCAAAAATGGGGTTTAAATTGTGTTTCGAATGTAAAACAATACATGTTTCAAGAGGTGACTGGCGTTCTTGTTGAGACTCAGAGGCACATCCACAGGGATGTTCCTGCCCTTTTCCTGTACTCTCTATGCGGATATGGGCAAATTCAACACAGTTCAAATCGAGTTGCTGCCCTTATCATTATGATCGCTACTACAGCTATTATTGCAACTGTGACTGTTGCTACTATCACTACTGCTGCTAATTTTATCCCTACTGCTTTCACTATCGTGCGGTCTCCGAGCTTCTCGAGCCTCTCATTGCCAAGACCCAAAACATCCTGCCGCCACCATTTTTTCGTCACTATTATCATGTCTATTATCCTTATAATTTAGTAGTATTACTATTGTCAGTCTGTTCTTCATTATTACATATTACTACTATTCTTAGGTTTCATACCCATCGTTTGCCGCGCTTCGCGGCTAGAAAGTGTAGATTTCATTGGCCATCGCAAGGGATTTGCATGCCAGGTGACGGAAGACAATCACCAAGAAAAAAGGGAGAATTTTGGATGTTTATGCAACCCTCTCAGCACTTCGGCTTCGCGCTT